AAGTTATCTTTAAGAAATCATTCAACAGCAGATACAAGCTATGTGTAATTTAACTATTACAAATAAAAATTGGCAACAATCAAAACAGTGCATAATAAGTACCTGGTTAAGAATATGAGGATATGTCAGTTTGGTAACTATCATGTAGGGGTTAAAAATAATACTTATCAGGCCTAATAAATAGGGAACCATATATATAGAATCATAACTATGAGAAGTATGTATAAACCTATACAAAGATTGGGATGGCTGTCCAAAAATGAATATAGTTAAACTAGAATGGTGATATTGATTGCATGTTGTTATTTCATCTTATCAAAAACATTTTGAATATTTTTCCAAGCAAAAGTTAAAAAGGAATCTGTCGGGGGACCTGGGTGGCTTAGTGGGTTAAAGCCTCTGCCTTCAGCTCAGGTCATGATCCCAGGGTCCTGGGATCAAGCCCCGCGTCGCGCTCTCTGCTCAGCAGGAGCCTGCTTCCACCTCTCTCTCTGCCTGCCTCTCTGCCTACTTGTGATCTCTTCCTCTCAAATAAATAAATAAAATTTTTAAAAAAGGAATCTGACCTTTCTTAAAATTAATCTACTACAAACTAAATGTAATTTGTGAGAGTAAGTTAATTGAAAATAGGATGATCTTAGTAGAAAAAGAGTAATTTAAACAAGAAAGAAGAGTTGGTAACATAAAAATATTTTAAATAGAGCATTTCTTCTGGAAGGAGGTGTTTCTTTAAAAAGACCATTTTCTATAAAACAAGAAAGAAGATAATCAAGCAAATTCCAACTATTGAGTGATACTGCATAGCAAATTTACATTAAAAAATTGGTATAAGGGGACACTCTTTGGTTAAAGTGTGGTGACTAGGAGTTAGGTGGCTTGATGTATTTTGTTCAGACTCTTATTAATTGGTAGCTTTATTATCCTAAATGTTCTGGATTAAGTTTCCTCATCTGAAAAATGAATGTTTGGAATAGGTCACCATTTAGGTCCCTTTTGACATGAAGATTCTATGATATTAATTATTAGAACTTTAGCTGATTAAATTAGCTGAGGATAGGTGATGAGAGAGAAGATCAGAATTAGTTCGGTGAAATTTAAAAGTGAGATTCTAAAATTGTAATAAGAGCACTTAAGATGAGATATACCCTCTAACTTTTAAGTGTCCAGTACAACATTGTTAATTATAGCCATGTTTTGTACAATAGATTTTTTTAAATTTTATTTTTTCAGTGTTCCAAGATTCATTGTTTATGTACCACACCCAGTGCTCCATGCAATACATGCCGTCCTTAATACCACCATCAGGCTCACCCATCCCCCCAACTCCCCTCCCCTCTAAAACCCTCAGTTTGTTTCTCAGAGTCCACAGTCTCTCATTTCTAAAACTTTTAATATTGCAAACCTATCCATTCTTAATGTTTCCCTCTCTCCAGCTGCTGGAAACAAAGATTCTACTTTCTGTTTCTATGAATGTAGGTCAAATGCCCAGTATAAGTAGAATCATGTATTTCTTGTCCTTTTGTGCGTAATGTCTTCAGGGTGCATCCATGTTGTAGAATATGACAGAATTTCTCTCTTTTTAAAGGCTGAATAATATTCTACTGTATGTATATGGTGCATTTTGTTTATCCATTCATCTGTGGAGGGACAGAGGTTGCTTTTACCTCTTGGCTATTGTGAATAATGCTGAGTGAACATAAGTGTGCAGATTATCTTTTTGAGATCCTTTCTTCGGTTCTTTTGGTTACATGCCAAGAAGTGGGATTGCTGAATCGTACGGTAGTCATTTTTAGTATCTTGAGAAACTTCCATACTGTGCACCATTTTATATTCCTACCAACAGAGCACAAGGATTCTGATTTTTTTACATCATCATTAACACTTGTTCTTTTATGGTTTTTTGGTAGTGGCCATCCTAACAGTTATGAAGTGATCTCTCATTGAGATTTGGATATGTATTTCTGTAATAATTAGTGAAGTTGAATGTTTTTTCCTGTTTTTTGACCACTCATGTGTTTTCTTTGGAGAAATGTCTCTACGAGTCCTTTGCCCATTTTTTTTTCTTTGCCCATTTTAAAATCAGCTTACTTTTGTTATTGAGTTAGAGGAATTCTTTATGTACTCTTTTTTTAAAAGATTTATTTATTTTTATTTTACTTTTACTTTTTATTTTTATTTATTTATTTTTAAACATATTAATTTTTTTTCAGTGTTCCAAGATTCATTGTTTATGCACCAAACCAGTGATCCATGCAATACGTGCCCTCCTTAATACCCACCACCAGGCTCACCCACCCCCCCAACCCCTCCTTTTCAAAACCCTCTTTGTTTCCCAGAGTCCACAGTCTCTCATGGTTCATCTCCCCCTACGATTTCCCCCAATTCACTTTTTCTTTCCTTCTTCTAATGTCCTCAATGTTATTCCTTATGCTCCTCAAGTAAGTGAAACCATATGATAATTGACTTTCTCTGCTTGACTTATTTCACTCAGCATGATCTCCTCCAGTCCCGCCCATGTTGATAACAAAAGTTGAGTGTTCATTAAGTGATCTGTCTATTGCTGAAAGTGGTGTGTTAAGATACCCTACAATTAATGTATTCATATAAATATGATTCTTTATTTTGTTTAACAGTTGGCTTATGTAGTTGGCTGCTCCCATGTTGGGGGCATAAATATTTATAATTGTTAGATCTTCTTGGTGGAAAGACCCTTTAAGAATGATGTAGTGTCCTTCTGTATCTCTGACTACAGTGTTTAGCTTAAAATCTAATTTATCTGATATGATAATTGCTACCCCAGCTTTCTTTTGAGGTCCATTGGCATGAAAGATGGTTCTCCATTCCTTCACTTTCAGTCTAGATGTATCTTTAGGTTCAAAATGTGTCTTTTGTAGACAGCATATGGACGGGTCCTATTGTTTTATCCAGTCTGTAACCCTGTGCCATTTTATGGGAGCATTTAGGCCGTTCACATTGAGAGTGATAATTGAAAGATAAGTTATTATTGACATCATGTTGCCTGTGAAGTCCTTGTTTCTATAGATTATCTCTTTAAATTTCTGTTCTGTGTCACTCTTGGGTTCTTTCTTCTTTTATAGAACCCCCTTAATATTTTTTGTAGTGCTGGCTTGGTGGTCACATAAACTTTTATTTATTTTTTTTAATTTTTTAAATTTATTTTCAGCATAACAGTATTCATTGTTTTTGCACCACACCCAGTGCTCCATGCAATCTGTGCCCTCTCCAATACCCACCACCTGGTTCCCCCAACCTCCCCCCCCCCCCCCCCCTTCAAAACCCTCAGATTGTTTTTCAGAGTCCATAGTCTCTCATGGTTCACCTCCCCTTCCAATTTCCCTCAACTCCCTTCTCCTCTCTAACTCCCCTTGTCCCCTTGCTATTTGTTATGCTCCACAAATAAGTGAAACCATATGATAATTGACTCTCTCCGCTTGACTTATTTCACTCAGCATAATCTTTTCCAGTCCCGTCCACGTTGCTACAAAAGTTGGGTATTCATCCTTTCTGATGGAGGCATAATACTCCATAGTATAAATGGACCACATCTTCCTTATCCATTCGTCCGTTGAAGGGCATCTTGGTTCTTTCAACAGTTTGGCGACTGTGGCCTTTGCTGCTATAAACATTGGGGTACAGATGGCCCTTCTTTTCACTACATCTGTATCTTTGGGGTAAATAATCAGTAGTGCAATTGCAGGGTCATAGGGTAGCTCTATTTTTAATTTCTTGAGGAATCTCCACACTGTTCTCCAAAGTGGCTGCACCAACTTGCATTCCCACCAACAGTGTAAGAGGGTTCCCCTTTCTCCACATCCCCTCCAACACATGTTGTTTCCTGTCTTGCTAATTTTGGCCATTCTAAGTGGTGTAAGGTGGTATCTCAAGGTCACATAACCTTTTAAATTCTGACGGTCTTGGAAGCTCTTTATCTCTTTTGTTTTAACTTTTGCATGCAGTTTAAGGTAAGGATCTAACTTCATTCTTTTGCATGTGGTTATCCAGTTTATCCAGCACCATTTGTTTTGAAGAGAGTGTCCTTTCCTCTGGTGGCCTTGCCAAAGACATTTGACCACGTATGTGAGAATTTATTTCTGGGATGTCTGTTCTGTTGGTCTCTATGTCTGTCTTTATGCTGCTAGTATACCAGTACTGTTTTGATTACTGTAATTTTGCATTATATTTTGAATCAGGAAGTACAAGGCCTTCAGCTCACAAGAGCAAGTGCTCTCTTTTCTTGCGATTATTTTGGCTATTCGAGATTCTTTGCAATTTCATATGGATTTTAGGATTGTTTTTTCTATTTCTGAAAAAAATGCCATTGGGATTTTTTAAAAAGTTTTAAAAAAAATTCTGGTTAGTTAACATACAGTGTAATATTAGCTTGCGCATACAATTTAGTGATTCAGCACTTCCATACATACACCTGGTGCTCATCACAAGGATTTTGATAGAGGTTGCATTGAATCTGTAGATAATTCTGGGTAATATGGATATTTTAACAACAGTAAGTCTCCCAGTCCAGGAACAAGGAATGTCTTACATTTACTTGTGTCATCTTTAATTTCTTTCTGCAGTGTTTAGTAGTTTTCAGTGGTAGAAGTCTTTTCACCTCCTTAGTTAAGTTTATTCCTATGTATTTTATTCTTTTTGATGCTATTGTAAATGGGATTGTTTCACATCTTGTTTTGAGCATCACTTCTGTTTACATGTTGGGTATGTCTGGTATTGAATTCTCATTTATTTTGGCTGATAAAATTACATAAAGCAACAGTATCATTTTCATATAGTATTTTAGTTTTGAAAAGATAGTAATACAATTTCATGTTATCTATTATCTGTTTGTGTCCCAAATCACTATAGGTTTTGGGAAATTGTTTTGTTCTTTGAGTTAAAAGCTTTGAATTACCCAAATTGCCTTCTTTGTTTGCCTGTCTGTTTCTTGGTATACTGAACTTGATCATCTTTGTTTTCTCATTTAGGGTACATCAAAGAAGGGTTCCTGTTTTTGCAGCATATCATAGACCAGGCCATCATGACATACCATAACGGCGAAGCTGCAAAACAAATGTTAAATGGTGCCATCATTTTGCTTAATAGGTTTCCATACCCTGCTTATTATATGGATCCTTTTTGGTTTAATTTTTCAGATCTCTTCCCTTTGATAGTTATACTTGCATTTTCTCTAACTGAACTTACCCTCATCAGGACCATTGTTTCAGAAAAGGAAAAGAGATTAAAGGTAATTTCACTTTCTTTGTAGCATTTTGGGCCCAAGGAACAGATTTTGTGCTCTATACCTTTGGCATTGGTAAATAATTATATCACAATAACAGTGTACAAATATACAAATTTTCTGATGGTTTACTTTTATCTAAATTCTTGATTTGGCCTATAGCTTTATTGACTAATGGCTATTTAACATGAATATTATGGAGAGAGGTCATATATTAAATATGCTGAATCTTTTTTGGAATAAAATAGGCAACAAAGAAATAATCATATGAGGTTTTGAGTTAGACTGATTTAAGATGCACTACAATTCCAAGATTTGAGATGCATGTCAGTGTTGAGTCAAAGTAAGACCATATTGTTAAAAACAGTGGCTCTAAATCAGAAAACCATTGATTTCCCCTGGGGCTAAAAATACATTATATGTTTATAAAAGTCAAGAAATATAATGCCTGCAATCCAGAATTCCTCACATTCCTTCCAAATCACTGCACCTTCCCTCTTCCACAAAGATAATCACTAACTTCTAAAACCCTATGTCAGTGTTACCTGGTTTTAAACTTTATTTGAATAGAATTATACAATAGCTATCCTTTTGCGGTCTGTATAGTTATAACTCAGCCATTTTCTTTGCTGTGTACTATTACATTTAATGAATATATCACAATTTATCACTCTTCTGTGGATGGATGCATGGTTGTTCGAGTATTGGGCTATTACAGTAAGCTACTGTGAATATTTTAGTGCACATGTGCACATTTTTTTGTTGGGTTTATACCTAGGATTGAGGTTGATGGAGTATACAGTATACATGTTTTCAACCCTGTTAAATAAGGCCAAATGTTTTGCCAAAATGTTTGTGCCAGTTTGTTCTCTTAATCAGTAATGTATGGGAATTAACTCTTGGTCTGTATGTATGCCAACACTTGGTGGTGTTAGTCTTTTTAAATGTGAACCATTCTGGAAGGCATATGTTGATATCTCATTGTGGTTTTATTTCATTTTAATATTTATATATTTATACATTTATTTATTAAATTTAAGTTCAGCTAGCCAAGGTACAGTATAATCATTGTTGTTTTAATTTGATTCGCCTCATTAACTGATGTTGTTGAACATCTTTTCATATACTTATTGGCCACATGGATATCCTCTTTTGTGAAGTATCAGTTCAGAAGTCTTTTCCCCATTTTTCTCTGGGGTTGTGTGTCATTCATCTATTTACAAGCATTCTTTATATATTTTGAATACTAGTTTTTAGTGTGACGTTTATATTGCAGTATTAACTCCCAGTCTCTAGCTTGTCTTAATGGTGTCTTTGGATTTATAAAAGTTAATAATTTTAATGTAATAAAGTCTTTAACCTTATGATTAGTGCTTTCTGTGTCCAGCCTCTGCTGGCTGAGTTCTCCCCAGGTCTTTAGATACTCTTCTTTTCTAATCTTTGTATTTAAGCTTCTAAATTTCCCTCTAGTCATAACTTTAGTTGCAACCTACAAATTGAAGTATAGTATTTTCTTTATCATATAGTTCAAAGAGTTTCTAATTTTCATTTTGGATTTTTTCTTTGACCCATAAGATAATTAGAAAAGCACTTAAAAATTTTCAGACATATTAGGAGCCAGTATTTGAGTTAAATTTTTTGAAATTTTGATGGCATTAGCTTTGTGGGCTAGACTGTAGCCAATTTTAGCAAATGTTCCACATGCATGTGTGCACTAAAACCAATGTGTACTGTGTGTTCAACGGGTGCAGTTTTCTCTGCATGTTATAATAAGTTAGTCATGTTGTTCATATTTTTTTTAGAGAGAGAGGGGGGGTTGGAGGGGCAGAGGAAGAAGATGAGTGAGAATGTTAAGCAGGCTCTATGCCCATTGTGGAGCCTGATGCAAGGCTGGATCTCACAACCCTGAGATCATGACTTGAAACAAAATCAAGAGCCAGACACTTCACCAACTGAACCACCCAAGCACCCCTGTATTTTTCATATCTTTTTAAAACTTTTTATTATCTTTTTTTTAAAAAAAGTAATCTCTACAGCCAGTGTAGAGATTACTTAAACCCCCAGTGGGGGTTGAACTCACAACCCTGAGGTCAAGAGTCACATCATGTTCTACTGACTTGAGTCAGACAGGCTTCCCTGTTGTTCATATTTTTTTTTAAGATTTTATTTATTTATCTTAGAGAGAGAGAGCATGCACATGTGTCAGGGAGAGGGACAAGTAGATTCCCTGCTATGCAGGGAGCCCGATGCAGGGCTTGATCCTAGCACACCGAGATCATTACCTGAACTGAATGTAGATGCTTAACTGAGTCACCCAGGTGTCCCTGTTTATATCTTTTTTTTTTTAAGATTTCATTTATTTATTTGTCAGAGAGAGAGAGAGAGAGAGAGAGTGAGCATAGGCAGACAGAATGGTAGAGGGAGAAGCAGGCTCCCTGCGGAGCAAGGAGCCCGAAGCGGGACTCGATGCCAAGACGCTGGGATCATGACCTGAGCCGAAGGCAGCCGCTTAACCAACTGAGCAACCCAGGCGTCCCCCTGTTTATATCTTTAACATGGATTTTTATGTTAGTATATCAGTTATGGGGAGAAGTATGTTGAAGATCTCCCTCTATTATTATTGATTATTAAGTTGTTGGTGTTCATGAATGATTGTTATTAGAGCACTTTTTTATGATAGCTGCTTTAAAATCATTATTAGATAATTCTAATATGTATGTCATCTTGATTTGGCATTTGAGGATTTTCTCTTTGTTTTTAGAGCTTAGATTTTCCTTATCTTGGTTTGTTGAGTAATTTGAGGTTGTATCTTGAATATTTTGAATATTGTGTTATAAATCCCTTGATCATTTTGAAAATTTTCCATTTCATTTTCTAGCTATCTCTTCGTGCTTAGAATACACATCTTTGCAAATGGCAAAATCCCATTCTTTTTCATGGCTGATTAATATTTCATTATATATATATATATGCTACATCTTCCTGATCCATCTATTGATAGGCACTTGGGTTGCTTGCATATCTTGGCTACCATAAATAATGCCGCAGTAGACATAGGGATGCATATATCTTTTGGAATTAGTGGTTTCATTTTCTTTGGGTAAATACCCAATAGTGGAATTAGTAGATCATATGATAATTCTATTTTTAATTTTCTGAGGAACCTCTACACTGTTCATTCCACGGTAGCTACACCCATTTGCATTCCCACCAACAGTGTGAGAGGGTTCCTTTTTCTTCATATCCTCACCAATACTTTTTTCTTGTCTTTCTGATTCTAGCCATTCTGGCAGATAGAAGGTGTTATCTCATTATGGTTTTGATTTGCATTTCCTGAGGATTAGTAATGTTGAACATCTGTTCATATCTGTTGATATCTGTATGTCTTCTTTGGAAAAATGTCTATTCAGGGTCTCTCTCTATTTTTTAAGTGGATTATTTGTTTTTTGGGTGTTGAGTTTTGTAAGTTCTTAATATATTTTGGGATTATAACCCCTTACTGGATATATCATTTAGAAATACCTTCTCCCATTCAGTGACTTGTCTTATTTTTGTTGATTGTTTCCTTTAATGTGCAGAAGTTTTTTATTCTGATGTAGTCCCAATAGTTTATTTTTGCTTTTGTTTCTAGATATATCTAGAAGAATGTCACTATGACTGATGTCAAAGAAGTTACTGACTGTCTTCTCCTCTGGGATTTTAATGGTTTCCTGTCTCATGTGTAGGTCTTTAATCTATTTTGAATCTTTGTCTGTGGTATAAGAAAGTGGTCCAGTTTCATTCTTTTGCATGTTGCTGTCCGGTTTCCCCAACACCATTTGTTGAAGAGACTATTTCCATTGTATGTTCTTTCCTTTTTTGTAGAAGATTAATTGACCATGTAGTTGTGGTTGATTTCTGGATTTTCTGTTCTATTCTGTTGCTCACTGTGTCTGTTTTTGTGCCAGTACCATACTGTTTCCATCACTACAGCTTTGTAGTATAACTTGAAATCTGGAATTATAATACCTCTAGTTTTTTCTTTTCAAGACTACTTTGGTTATTCAGGGTCTTTTGTGGGTTTCATATAAATTCTAGGATTGTTTGTTCTAGTTCTGTGAAAAATGCTGGTGGTATTTTGATGGGGATTTCATTAAATTTGTAGATTGCTCTGGGAGTGTAGGACATTTTAACAATATATGTTCTTCTAATCTGTGAGCATGGAATTTCTTTCCATTTGTGTCATCTTTAGTTTCTTTCATTGATATTTTATAGTTTCAGAGTATGGGTCTGTAAGTTCTTCAGTTAAGTTTATTACTAGGGTTTTTTTCTCCACATCCTTACCAACACCTGTTGTTTATTATGTTTTTGATTTTAGCCATTCTGATAAGTGTGAGGTGATACCTCATTTGATTTGCATTTCCCTGATGATAAGTGATGATGAGCATATTTTCATGTGTCGTGGCTGTTTGTATGTCTTCTTTGGAGAAATGTCTGTTCATGTCTTCTACCCATTTTTTAATTGGATTTTTTGGCTTTTGGGTGTTGAATTTTATAAGTTCTTTATATATTTTGTATACTATGCTGAATTATGGTTCATGAAGCTCCCTTCTAAAACTCCACTTCTAAAACAATCTTGCCCATTATGTTATTTGGATTTTAGTGTTTGTAGATGAGGACAATGAGGCACAGAGAGGTCAAGGAATTTGCTCAAGGTTATATTGCTGGTAAGTGGCAGGAAGAATGAGGATTCAAACTGGGGGAATCAGTCTCAGATTTATTGTACCAGGGAAAATTAGCCTCAGAAATGTACAGAGACAGCATGATGGAAGGGGAGGAGCACAGAACAGGGAGCTCCTTCTGTGCAACTTTGTAGAAGCAACTCACCCTCTTTGAGTCTCGCTTTATAATCTGTAAAATTAGGAGGGTTTATATAAATTAGGAAATGGCAAACTTTACCTGTAAACAAAACCAGATAACACATATTTTAGGGCTTGCAGCCCTATTGTAGGATGAATGCAGCCACAGTACAGAAATGAGTGAGCATGGCTCTATGCCAATAAAGCTTTAGTTATAAAAGTATGAGGCAGCCTGGATTTAGGCCATAGGCTGTAGTTTGCCCGTCCCTGCTTTAATCTGTAATTGAATTAAAGCTTATATACCTTCCTTTAATATTTCTGGAGGTTGAACATAATAAAAAGAAAAAAGAAAAAAGAACATAATAAAAAGAAAGGTGGTCTTATTTTTTGTGTTTAAATTTTTAATTAAGTATTTCTTGTGTTAGAACCACAGTTGGTAAGTTATCAGGGAGAAGATCTGGACTCAGAATTCTGAGTTGGAATTGTAGCCCTGCTGCTCATTAGACGGATGGTTTTGGTCAGATCACTCGACTATTCTGAGACTTGATTTCTCTGTAAAATGAGGGTGATAGTACTTAGCTTATGTAAGTTTTTGTGGGACTAAGTCAGTTAATATTTATGAATGCATTTTGAAAACTATGAGTTGTTTTTCATGACATTTGATTTGTGTTTACTCTCCTACAGGAGTACCAGCTCATGATAGGACTCAGTAATGCTATGCTCTGGGCTTCCTATTTTGTCTCATTCTTTCTGATGTTTTTAATTATCATCTGTTTACTGTGCGTGATTTTATTTGTCAAGGCAAGTATGTATTTGAATGTAGTAGGCTGCATCTAAAGCTCGAGAGGGATAAAATAACTGGGGATGGGCTGAGTGGGTTTTAGGTTACAAAAGAATATATACATTTTTCTTTGAGTCCCCTTGGGAATTCAGAAGCTGCTCAGTTTTATCAGCACACAAAACCATAGACCTAGATGGGCAACCCTTCCCCAAGAAAAGAGTTATTTAGTTAACTTTGCATCTCTCTGAGCAGTGACCTGTTTCACTAGGGCTACTGAAGTGGTAAGGGTATTTTCTTTGGCCTCCCTTGTTTATCTATGACACCTCTTACAGTAGGACTAAACTGGCATCCTGGTTGTTTTATTAGATTGCACCTGATGTAGTCATCCAGTACAGTGACCCGTCTCTTGTCTTCGTCTTTTTCCTGTGCTTTGTCATCACCTCTATATTCTTCGGCTTTCTGATTTCCACACTCTTTGATACAGGTGAGTCTAAGACTCCCCCACTTGACAGATTCTCAGCATTTCGGTTGACAAAAGAGGATTTCGTTTGGGAGCTCCTTCCAAACTTCAGCTGCCACCTCATATCCAGCCTCTGCTTATTACACTTTAACAAAAAAGACAGATATCATGTGCATGTAAAATGATTTGAGAGGAAGGACAAAGATCAGGAAAATCAATACAGCAGAGGATGCCCATAAGAAGAGGATAAAAACCAACATAAGATTACATGTGACAGTAGGGTATCAACTAAAATAAGGTCATGTGGAAATATTCATTCACTCACCTGCTCTTTTAAGTCTTTGGATCACTTTTCACATGCCAGGAACCATGTATGCAAAATGCTCCTGAGAATCGACTTCCTGCCCTTTGTGTTTTCACATATGAGAGGGATGTGTAACTGGATAAATTCAGACTGGGCTAAGTTAGGGAATTTGTACAATTACTTCTCCAGTGGTCATTTTCTGTTATCACTTACTAAAAAAAATAAATATGTCTTCTTTTTCAGACAACAAATATTCACCATTTTCATTTTTATATCTTTCATATATGCTGAATAATTAGAGTATTACTTTCAGTCATTTAAGGTATAAGTACTATAAAACAAATTGCTTTATGGTAAAATTTACATTTCATAGGTATTTTTATTGTTTTCAGCAATAACACTGCTACCAGTTGGTGCATTCTTACAAAATAGAGAGTCATACCTACCACCTATCATGATGTATAGTAAAACTATGAATGCAGAGAATCATTATGTCAAAGTTAGGCTGAAGGTGACTTGCTGAAGAGCAGGTTAAAGTGGACAAATGCCAAGGAACAACTCATTGGCCAAAACAACTATTTTTTTTTTTAAGATTTTATTTATTTATTTGACAGAGCGAGAGATCACAAGTAGAGAGGCAGGCAGAGAGAGAGAGAGAGAGAGAGAGAGGGAAGCAGGCTCCCTGCTGAGCAAAGAGCCCGATGCGGGACTCGATCCCAGGACCCTGAGATCATGACCTGAGCTGAAGGCAGCGGCTTAACCCACTGAGCCACCCAGGCGCCCCAAAACAACTATTTTTAAAAATCCCTTCTGTTTATAAAATCCACAAATTAGGTGGAAGGTGATTGAAAACCAAAGATAGCTTTTGTGTTGGGATTTTCTGTTGAGCACCAGAGATTTTGGTGTTTTCTTCTGACAGCAATTCAGGAGCTAAGGTAAGTCCGGAGAACCTGCCAAAAGTGGACTATGTAAGAGGACTCCTCAAATAAAGGTAAAACCTCAAAGAGCCGCTCTTGCTGTGCAGGTGAATGAGAAACAGAGGTGCCACACAGACCGCAAATTCTTGCCTTGCTTAAATTCACCAAGGTCTTAAGATTGTGGTTTATGTGAGAAGGGCATCAGTGAATGCAGTCAGCAGATAAAAATTCCAAGTTTTAATAGCAGAAGATTAGTGAGTTATATCAAGTTTTATATTTTGGAAGTTACAGAAGTGCCTCTTTATCCCTCTTGCAATCTCCTTATATATCTGAAGCTTTTTGGTTGTTTGTTTTTTGTGATTCCGGTTTTAGTTGTCTTTTTGACTAAATGAAACTGCATGTACTATGTAGGGAATGATCTATATATGAAGTGGTATCATTCTGTTATATTTCTACTGATGCTTTCCCATATCTGTTTCTTTATTATAAGTCCTCTAAGTTTTTTCATGGCATGAAATAGATAACAAATGCAACAGTGTATATACAGTGTACCTAATAATAAAATGAACACCCAGGTGCTCACCCAAGTACCGAACATACCATATTGAAAAATTGCTAGTATCTAAGGAACACTTTAGGTGCTCCTTTCGAATAATAATCACTATTCTGACTGACTTTTCTTTACAGCTTTTCCACTTATATGTCTATCACTAGCTAATGTATTGCTAGTTTTATAGTGAAATTATACCATATGATTTGGATACAACATGGTGTTATGATTTAAGTGTTATCTACATAGTTGTGATTTCATTTTTACTGCTGTATAGTGTTCTCTTGTACAGTTATCAGTTTTATACTTCATAGGTACTTGGATTATTTCTAATTAGTTATTATTATGAATAATATTGATGTGAACATTCTTGTATATGTCAGTTGGTAGAGATGTACAAGATTTTTTCCGGGGCACGTAATTAGGAGTGAAATTTCTTACTCAGGTAGGATATGTGAGCATGTTACCTTACTAGGTTATAGAAAAACTGTTTCCAAAGAGGTTGTACAATTTCAAATTCCTCCTAGCAGTAGGTAAGAATCTCTATTGTTTCTAGCTTTTAAAATTTGTATCATATTTTGAGGTGTGAAAGGCATCTCATTGATGCCAATCATATTTTTAGGTTAATAAGAACCATGTGTGTTTTTTTCTATAAAATGCCTGTTTACATCTTTTGACCACATATTTTTATAGCTTTATAAATGTATAATATACATACCATAAAATTCACCCACTAGTAAATTTTTCGAGTTATGCAACCATCACCAAATCTCATTTTAGAAATTTTCCATCACTCCTGAAATTTCCTTTGAGCTAATTTTTGGTCAGTCCTCATTTTTATCTCTCTGGCACAAGGCAACAAGTCAACTGCTTTCTCTCTACATAAATCTGGGTCATCTTGCCATTTGGTATATATGGATAAAGTGTGGAGTCTTCTAAAACATTTAGTTTCTTTTACTTATAATGATTTTGAAATCCATGTTTTAGCATGTATCAGTATTTCCTTTCTGTTAATTGTTGAATAATATTTTTGTTATATGGATATACAACATTTTGTTTATACATCTCAGGGTTAAAGGACATTTAAATTGTTCACAGTATTTTTGGCCATTATGAATAACACTGCTATGGCTATTTACATACAAGTCTTTGTGTGGACATATGTTTTCACTTCTCCAGGAAATGGAATTGTTGGATTGTGAGATAAATTTATATTTAACTTTTAGAGAACATCCTCAAATTTTTCCAGTGTGGCTGTATAATTTTATATGTATCCCCATCAGTCATTTAGGTGTGGGGCTCTAGGACCCCTAGGTTGGGGGTTTGATAATAATCCAATAAGGATTTAAGGTGATTGAAAAGGATCTGTTTCTGTTACACCTGTACTTTAGACATAGCCCTTCAGGGCACTCAGTAAAAGTTTGAGGTATTAATTATGGCTTTTTTTCTTTAGTATGTCTTAATTTCTGTATGCCTTTGACATTGTCAGAAATTCTGCTCAGTCCCTCAGACTCTTTTTTAAAAATTATTATTTTATGTCAGTCACCATACTGTACATTATCAGTTTTTGATGTAGTGTTCCATGATTCATTGTTTGCGTGTAACACCCAGTGCTCCCTGCAATCCAGGGCTTCCTTAATACACATCACCCGGTTCAAATAGGCAGTAACATCTTTGACATCAGCCACAGCAACTTCTTTCAAGACACAGCTCCAAAGGCAAGGGAAACAAAAGCAAAAATGAGCTTTTGGGACTTCATTTTGGAACTCTCCTGTGCACAGCAAAGGAAATCATCAACAAGACAAAGAGGCAACCCACAGGATGGGAGAAGATATTTGTAAATGATACTATAGACAAAGCGCTGATATCCAAGATCTGTAAAAAAATTCTCAAACTCTACACCCAAAAACTAAATAATCTAGTTTAAAAAATGGGCAGAAGACATGAGCAGACACTTCTCCAATGTCCCTCAGACTCTAAGCCATAGTTTGGATTTTACAAATGCTTCAAGGTGGAAATTAGCACCAAATTTTAGACTGATCGCTCTTGAGTTCTTGTCTTTTACCTTGATTTTGGTCATATAAATTGTCCTTGCTTGGTAGCTTTCTGTCACTCAACATACTTAAAAAGTAATACTTTAACAAATCAATCAATCAATAAACAAACATAAAAAATAATTTGTCTAGATTTTTCTGTTGTCATTGCAAAAGTTGGTCTGAAATAATGCAGTCCCCATAATACAGAGTATCCTAATCCAGATGCTTCTGTTACACTTTTTTTCTGTCTTCTTAATGTACTGTTTTATAAAGTATTATAAATAAGTATTCAAAGTAGCATAAATAAGACTGGAAATGTATCTAAAACCACTGTCAACTTTTTCAGTTTTCATCTTCCAAAATTCCAAGATAAAGGGAAATAGTGTAGGTGTATTCATACGATGTAATTAGTGGTAGTGTACATCTCGAGATTATTAGACTGAGTAGTCATGAATAAAAATGAAAAAGAATGTTTCTATAAACATAAGGATAAATCCTTTTTTAGATGAGTAAATAACCACAATCATAGCATTAGAAGGAGGATAAATTCCAGAAAAGTTTATTCCTTGTATCATTCATTCGTTCATTCATTTGAGCAAAAATATTTACTGAGCACCTGTCTATGTTCAACACTGTTCTAGATGCTCATGAGAGAGTGGTGACCAAGACTGTTTCCCTTCTTTTGTAGGATCTACATTTTAGAGCTCTTTTATAATAAGATGAGATTTCTACATTAAGCTTTTATAGTTTACTTGAACTGACTCTATATTTTCCTTCTTTCTTTTCAGCTACTTTGGCTGTGTCTGTTGGAGGTTTCCTCTATTTTCTCACCTTCTTTCCATATGTATTCGTGCAAACCATGTATACACAAATGGCCCTCACCGAGAAGCTGGTTTTCTGTCTCCTTTCAAATGTTGCAGTAGCTTTGGGGGTTAATATTATAAGCCAGATGGAAATGAAGCGTGAGTCTTTCCTTTATAAAATTAACTTTGATGATGATCCCAGGAAGAAAAGGCATGTTGTCTGGGATTGCCAGTGGAGTGGGTGGGACAGTGGGTGAGAGATGATTATAATGTTTCTTAAATATTTTTTCTGGATTGTAATTTTTTTATCATAAATGATATCTCTGTACTATATGTATGCATGCACCATATATATGTATACCTGTGTACATGAACATGTATATGCAAATATGTATTTACATATGTATTTACATGTCTTTATATCAGTGGGCTCATCTTGGCAGGCAGTTTTGCCACCTAGGGGATATTGAGAATTCTGGAGATATATTGGTGTTTGATTATCATGTCTAGTGAAGGATTGCTACTGATATCTAGTGTGTAGAAGCCAGAGATGCTACTAAATATCCTACAAACTACAGGACATTCCCTGAAACAGAAGTATACAGGCTCAAATGTCAGTAGTGCCAAGGATGAGACATCCAGCTAATATCCATATTTTAACATCTGTGAGTTCACACTGTTGGATCCAATTCCTATCCAGTATCAAGAGTTCTTCCTAGTTTTTCCCTATCCTGTCCAACCATGAGAAATGTTGCCTGCTACCATTATCAGTATAATTACACATTTGTTCAGTTTTGCCCTACTCTGGAAATAGGGAACCACTCATCCATACCACTGTAAACAACAAACATATTAAGTATGGTAATTATTTGTAATTCTACATTTCTCCTTCAGAATCTCCAGATTCTCTCCAGAATCTTTAGGATTTTCTATACATAAGCTTAAGTCATCTGTGAGTAAGAGTAGTTTTAGTTCCTCCTACGTAATTTGCCTTATCTCTTTATTTGGCTTGACTTCTATGGATGTAACTTCACATGTGTACAATGTTGAATAGAAGTGGGAGAGTGAACATGTTTATCTTGTTCCTGATCTTTGGAAGAAAGCTTTCTGTCTTTTACTTTTTTTTTTTAAAGATTTTTATTTATTTACTTGACAGACAGAGCTCACAAGTAGGCAGAGAGGCAGGCAGAGAGAGAGAGGTGGAAGCAGGCTCCCTGCTGAGCAGAGAGCCCGATGCGATGCGGGGCTGGATCCCAGGACCTTGAGATCATGACCTGAGCCGAAGGCAGAGGCTTAACCCACTGAGCCACCAAGGCGCCCTCTCTTTTACCTTTTATTATTATTTAGTTGTGGATTTTTCCTAGGTGACATTTATCCAATTAAGAAAATGCTTTCTCTTTTCATTTTTAAATGTTTTAATATTGTTGTTATTATGAAAGAGTATTGATATTGTCAGATATTCTTTCTGCATCAATAGGAATGAGCATGTAACTTTTTTCCCTCCTTTTTTTCCAGCTTTATTGAGGTATAACTCATAAAAAATGTATATACTTAGGTTTTCAGTGCGATTTTTAAAAGGTGTACAGTGATAAATGATGATTTAATATATAACATATAGACTGTGAAATGACGATCGGAATAAAGTTAACACATCTGTTACTTTAGATACTATTTGTGTGTATGTGTGTGTGTGTGATAACATTTAAGATCAATTTCTTAGCAAATTTCAAGTATACAAAAATTATTATTAACTATAATTACCATATTGTACATCAGATCCACAGAATTTATTCATCTTATAACTGAAAACTTATACCCTTTGATCAACATCTCACAATTTTACCCAACCCACAGTCCCAGGAAATCATTCTTTTGCTCTCTGGTTCCATGAGCTTTTTAGATAAAATATATAAATGAGATCACACATTATTTGTCTTTCTGTGTCTGGTCAGTTTCACTTAGTATAATGTATTCCAAATTCATTCATGTTGTTGCAAATAGCAGGATTTCCTTCCTTCTTATGGTCAAATAATATTCCTGTGTGTGTGTGTGTGTGTGTGTGTGTATGTACATGTATGTATATATACACATAGTTGACCCTTGAACAATATGGGGGTTAGGGCACTGACTGCCCATACAGTTGAAAATCTGTATATAACTTCTGACTCCCTAAAAACATAACTACTAATAGTCTAGTGTTGGCTGGAAGTCTTACCAATAACGTAAGCATTCGCTTAATTCATATTTTGTATGTTATATGTATTATATACTATATTCTTTTAATAAAGTAAGCTAAAAAAAGAAAATGTTATTAAGAAGATCATGAGGAAGACAAAATGCATTTACAGTATTGTACATATATATTTTTAAATATTTTTATTTATCTGAGAGAGAGCACAAGCATGAGAAGGGGCAGAGTGGGGAGAGAGAATCTCTCAAGCAGACTATGCACTGAGTGAGTGTGGAGCCTAATATGGGGCTCGATCTCACAGCCTTGAGATCATGACTTCAGCCTAAACCAAGAGTCAGACACTTAACTGACTGAGCCACCCAGGCACCCCTGTACATATATTTATTGGAAAAAAAAATGTATAAATAGACCCATGGTTCAAACCCATGTTGTTCATGGGACAAATGTGTATATATCACATATTTTCTTGGATAATGGAATGGGTATTTTCTTTTTTCATTCATCTGTTGATGGATACTTAGGTTGTTTCCATACCTCGGCTGCTGGAATAATGGTGAAGTGAATTTGGGGGTACAGCTATCTTCAAGATCCCGTTTTCATTTCTTTTTTGTTCTGTTTTCATTTCTTTTGGATATATACCTAGGAGAGGGGTTGCTGAATCATATGTCCTAAATTTTTGAGGAACTTCTACTGCTTTCTGTAGTGGCTGTACCAGTTTACAGTCCCATTAACAGTGCATCTGGGTCAAGAAAAGAATATGTAGGAGAGGGACGTTATTTTAACACAAACAGTAGAAGGGACTAAAATGGAAAGTTTGTCTATACTAGAGTACAGTTCATATATTCTGATATAGTTAAATCACATAAGTAGGAACAAATAGTTCTATATACATTTCCATTATTTCCCTGGGGGCTCATTCTAAATGCAAGTGTACCTAGTGTAAGAATGTATAGAGGCTGCTTCTCTGGTGTCATTGCCTAGTAAAAAAGTAATAGTAACCACTGACAAAATAGTCTAAAAGCTTCCTCCAAAATTAACATTAAAGGGGTTCTCAGGGAAATCATTATGTAGTATGTTTGTTTTGTCTTTGACTATGTGTTTAACTATCACATTCAAAAGGAGTTCATATAGAATACAAAAATTAAAAAAAAAAAACAAAACAAAAACTCAGACTACCCTACAACACACAGATATAAGAAAGTATCCATGGTCAGAGATTCCATAAAGTGTTTAAAGATGCATTTACTTATATTTATTTTTTGGTACCTAAAGAGTTTTGAGTGTCCATTTTTTAGTATATGTATTTTTAATCTATATATGGAGTATAGTAGTAACAAATCCTGTATTAAGTTCAATTCAAATTGGGTTTTGCAAGTTAGTAACTTAAGTGCTTTGACAAAATAATAGAAAGTACATTTTCTTATTTTCTATTTTCATACAGTATATAATTTTTTGGTGTTTATACCTTTTAAAAGTTAAAGTCAACCAAATATTAAGCAATACATACCCTAAAAGTTTAGGTGGTAGTTTGTATTTTAAAAGGAGCAATTTCCTTATGATTTGCCTCAGGTAAGTAGCATTAATAATAAAAAATGAGAAAAGCACATTGAAAATACTGATTTAATTTGGCAGCAAATGGTTATTCTTTGGAGACTAATGAAGGTAGACATGACCCATCACGATGAAGTGGGCTCTTTCAAATACTCAGTGGTCTACATAAAATTTAAAAAAATATTTTTAAAGAAACATCTGTAGCTACTAACAAGGCAATGCCACGTTTATAATAACCTGAAGCAAAACAAATGCTCATAGGGAAAAAAGCTGTGTTTTAATATTATCTAAATACACAGTAACATTTTCCTTTCAGTGCAATACTCTTTCTGTATAAGGCAGTTCCTGGAAGCCAGACAGTTTAGATAATGAAGGAGTTAAGTTAGGGAGTAATTGCTTGCAGGTTTTTTTTTTTTTTTTCCAAGATCTTATTTATTTGTCAGCAAGAGAGAGAGAGCACAAGCAGGGAGAGCTGCAGGCAGAGGGAGAAGCAGGCCCCTCGAGCAGGGAGCCTGTGTCTAGGGCTCAATCCCAGGACCCTGGGATCATGACCTGAGCCAAAGGCAGACGCTTAGCAACTGAGCCACTCAGGTGCACCTCCTTGCAGTTTAAATAGCAACTTTTTGCTTTCCACTCAGTGTGCTAATAGTTGTGCCTAACAAAAAAAGCAATTCTTAAAAGGTACCATTTCTGATTTCTTCATTATATGTACTCTTTGTAAATGAATCATGGGAAACTACAAAATTAGCAAATGTCTTGAGATCCTTATGTACAACATACATTATCCCTAATTTCAAATCCATGTATTTGTGTAGCACTCAACCTTTACAAAGAAAAGCGGCTCCAAAGATAGTTGTATATACAGGAAACTGATCCTTTTTCACTTTGTACCCACCTCACACCCTGATTTTAATTGTCTTGGTCATGGACCTTTCCAAGAAGAGATTTTTATATTTCAGTCCCATAGTTGTTTATCAGGAAACCCTCCTTTCCTCTTTTGAAGGAGTTAGGTCCTATTGATGTTGGTGTGTCCCCTCTAATATTTTCCCAGTTTCAGGAAGCATGTCCTCTGGTTCTGTCTTCACCTTCATTTAAAGCTGCTGCCACTTATGGGTTTGTGGAGCAAGAATTGGAAGTTTCTTTAATTTGGGTATACTTGATCCAAGTTGGATGAATACGGATAATTCTTTCTTTGTCATCTGACCCCACACCCAAACTTGGAGGTCTGCAGCTTCTCATTCAGCTGGTCACTTCTCAGCACTGTGACTGGAACTTTCCCCTGTTACTCCATAGGCTGCAGTTAGATGTGGCTTCTTTTACTTCTCTCTCTTACCTTTCTGTCCATCATTGTTGCTGCCCCATCCTCTCCTGTAGCTTTTACACCAAGGACTCTGGCATTTCTTTTTTATTCTTTCTTAGAATTTCCATCTCTCTGCACACATTATCCATCTGGTCTTGCATGTTGTATATTTCTTCCATTAAAGCACTTACCATGGGGCGCCTAGGTGGCTCATTCGTTAAGCATCTGCCTTCAGCTCAGGTCATGATCTCAGAGTCCTAGGATGGAGCCCCACATCAGGCTCTCTGCTTGATAGGAAGCCTGCTTCTCCCTCTCCCACTCCCCCTGCTTGTATTCCCTCTCTCGCTGTATCTCTCCCTATCAAATAAATAAATAATCTTTAAAAAAAAATAAAGCACTTACCGTGTTAATCACAGTTTTTTAAAATTCCTGATCTGATAATCCTAATATCTTTGTTATATCAAAGTCTAATTCAGATGCTTGTTCACTCTCTTCAAACTGTGTTCTTTGCTCTTCAGTATGCCTGATAATTTTTTGTTGTAAGATGGATAAGAGGGGCACCTGGGTACTCAGTCAGTTAAGTGTCTGACTCTTGATTGCAGCTCAGGTCATGATCTTGGGATCCCGAGACTGAGACCCCCATCAGGCTCTGTGCTTAGCAGGGAGTCTGCTTGGGATTCTTTCTCTCCCTCTCCCCTTCCCACTTTTGTTCTTTCTCTCTCTCTCTCAAATAAAATAAAATAAAATAAAATCTTAACATAAAAAAATAATGAAAATAAAGTGAACCCTTATAAGCAGTAAAAAAAAAAAAAAAAAAAGTGGCTATGGAGTACTGGGTAAAAGGAACCACACAGTAAATAGGCCTTTAGTGATGTAGAGGTAAGGTGTGTAGCCCTATGACTCAACCTCAGTCACTTGGTAAGTTTGTACCCTTGGACTATGAACTCCATAAGTGCTTCTCAGTTTTTTGCCCTGCTTAGATGGGGCAGGATGGCTCGAGGGGACTAGAATTAGGTATTTCCCTTGCCCTAGGTGAGTTAGGCTCTGGTAAGATAGTTTCTTATGAATAAAGGCCTGATTAGGAATGAAATGCACAAGAACATTTCCAAATGGCTCTCCCTCTCCCTCTTAGGAGTATGAGGGGATTTTTCTCTGATATTCACTGTAAGGAACTGGCAGGGCTACCAAAGGTAAAACTCGCAAAAACCTCAATGACTTGATCCGCTGGAATATTTAATTCTCAGGCTTGTTTACCCTGGGTTTGGCAATTCATCAGTTATAGTTTAGGTTTTCCTACCCCAGTTCTCGTTCCCTTGGAGGTTTTTGCTCAAAGTTCGTTTCATTAAATTCTCTGTGCCTGCCTGTCTGTCTCTCCAGTTGTGGGGGCAGTGGTTTGCCCTGTGACCTCATGTCTCTAACAGATCTAAGAAGAATTTCAGTTCACCTTTTTACTTCTTGTTAGGATGGAGTGGTGATTCCTGCATTCCTTACAGGCCAACTTGAAACTAGAAGCCAAACCTTGTTTTTATATTTATGAATGTATTTCCAAATGTATATATCTTGCTGGTTATTTCGGTGGAGATTCACATGAAAGAGAATGAAGGAATAGGGCTGCCATCACAACCAGTAGGTCTGTTTGTGGCTTTAAAGCTTACTTTATGGACTTTTTGTGACTATTTTTGTTTCAGTCACTACTAACTTTTAGTTGAGTTTGGCTGTAGAAAGAGGCAAATTGTTTCATTACTTACTTTATTATCCTCTTGGACAGCCTGAATTTCAAAGTATCAGTAAATAGCAAATAGACAGTACCTGTCTCCAGAGAATACCAGTACTTTCTTATTGTTTAATGATAAAGTAGCTGGATAAGTTTGCTCTAGTCACAGTTGGGCACCTCAAGTAACTGTCTACTATTATGTTTCAGAATATGGTGTCCAGTGGGATAACATCCAGTCACCAGTGAGCCCAGATGATGATCTTAGTTTTGTTCATATTATGGGAATGCTTTTATTTGATGCTTCCTTGTTTGGCCTTATGGCCTGGTATATGGATGCTGTCTTTCCAGGGAGGTATGGTGTGCCCAAGCCATGGTATTTCTTTGTGCAGGTAAGTTCTAATGATTCTATCATTGAGAGAAACCCCAGTTCTTAAGTATTTAGCTTGTTAAACAGTGAACATTATTACCTTAAACACCCTCTCTGTGGTTCTCCAGTCTTATGATACTAATACAGTTTTTATTCTTTCTGAACTAAAGCCATTACAAGTTAACTTTGTGACATGTATAATAGAATCAAATAGCTTTCTACAGGAAAAAAAAATCACCTGTCTGAATGAATATGTGGTGGTGCCCTTAGATCCTAGTGAGGACAAAATGAATTGTGTCTCATATCTGGTTTATCAGCACCTGCTTTTTTCTACTATTAGCCCAAATTACTTAGAATCAAAGCCACAGCAAAGTGGGAAGCATCTCTATCTTAGTCTATTTTCAGTCTACTTCTTTATTATTCTGTGGTTCAAAGTGAGTGGTTCCCAAACTCTTTAGTCTCAGAAATCCTTTATACTCCTAAAAATTATTGAGCACCCCAAAGAGCTGTGATTAATATGGGTTTTATCTATCAATATTAACCATATTTAAAAATTAAAAGAAATTTTAAAAATATTTGTCAACTTATTTAAATATATTACTAATAAACCCATTGCATGTTGAGGTCAGCATTTGGGGATAAATAGCTTTTTTTCAAAATTTAAAAATATTTGAAGAGTGGCCTGTTTTATAATTTTTTTCAAATATTTTTTATATTTACTTAATAAAATAACTAGATTCTCATTGGAGAGTATATTTCTGCATTTAATCTTTGCATTATTTTTTTTGCCTAAAATATATGGAGAAAATACAGCCTCATGCAGATACATAGTTGAAAAATGAGGAGCATATCAGTAGCCTTTTAAACAAATTTGGGTATTTGCTGTGTCACGACTAATGATAATTTTCTAGCAGGTAGTTGAAGTTTGGAATCTGAAAACACATTAACAAGCATTTCTTATTCTTTTTCATAATAATATTCATTGGTGTATCTTGTGATCTGATAGATCTTTAACCATGCATAAATTTGTAGCATCATATTTTGGTTATTTGAAAAATATTGGTTCATCAGTACAAACCTTCCAAGTGATGACACATTTCATCATACATTATCAAAGCATCATCTATTAATATCAACATGGTGTTGTTATGATAGTTTTTAAGAACTGTAAATTTGTCACACAAGAGTAGATACTAGTTTTTCAAAATTCTAGTTTTCACTTGAAAGTTCCAGTTATATCATTAGCAGCAAGTATTGTCAGTTCTTTTCTTTTAAGTAATAATATTTCTCCATTAATTTTATTTTTTTCGTGGGTAAAGCGATAGAAGTTTATTAAGTGAAGATACAGTAAAAGCTCTTAAGAGTGAGAGAGGTCCCGACAGGATTGCTAACAAGGGCCTTTACAGTTGGTCTTTTACAGAAAGCTAACCAGGGAACTTAAATCCTTTCAACACCTTCAATGGCTTCCTTCCTTTTTAGGGTCTTCATTAATTTTCAAGAAAATGTCTGCTAGATATCCAAGTCTAAAGAATATGCTGAGTGAAATAAGTGAAGCAGAGAGAGTCAATTATCATATGGTTTCACTTATTTGTGGAGCATAACAAATAGCATGGAAGACAAGGGGAGTTAGAGAGGAGAAGGGAGTTGAGGGAAATTGGAAGGGGAGGTGAATGAGAGACTATGGACTCTGAAAAACAATCTGAGGGTTTTGAAGGGGCGGGA